CTTCCAAAACTCTTTTCTTCTAGGCTGGTTTTAAAATGTTATTTGTCTTATTTGTGGTTGTACATCGCATACATTGATTTCAGAAACAAAACATATTCCAAAGGAAGGGAATGACATTGTCTATGAAGAATGCTTTTTCATGTAGGACTGAAGAAATGAGTATTTTACTTGAACCGTAGCTTTTAATTATATTGACTTTCAGGCTGAAGTTCCTTCTCTATTAAATTTGTTGCAGTGAACTATGCCAACTTCAAAGACAAAAGCTGGGGAGCCCTGCTCCTACTTAGATAAAACTGTCATTTGTGCGGATAAAAAGTTACTTTATAGCTCCTGTGTTTATCAGATGAGACTGTTAAGTTCAGGTTTAGCAGAACTATAGATACTTGCTTATTTTCTCAGTAGTGTATATCTTCATTTAATAGCATGGATGAAATGCCTGTAAGAGATTACTGCTAATGGAAAAGTAGATCAGAGTTATGATTGCACTAGCCACGTGTTCTGAAATGCTTTAATCTTTCTGAAGCTTGACTTCTAACTTGAGGATGCTTAAGCGGCTTTGATTCTAATATTAATAAGAAAAAAAATCAAAATTGTTAATGACTGTTTCTTGTTATTAAGAGCAGTAAATGGATATGGCTTAGTAGTTCCCAGACGTATTTAAAAATGGGGTGAGCAGAATAATTTCTTCAGTCTTAAAGTCCTTAAGATATCGTCAGGGGAACTTCTGGGAGGTAATTAGACCTTAAGCTTCAGTATAAGTATTTTTTTTGCTGTAGGATGGTAGTGATTGAGCAGTCTTCTCTGATGAACAGCTTCTTATATCTGATTAGTCTAAATTAATTTTCACCATTGACGTTAGTAAATGCTAAAATAAACGTGTCTGTGTCTCTCAGCTCCTCTTAAATGATTGGCTGGCCTAAAGTGAAGAGAGTAATTGCTGAGGTGTGGAAAACAGCAGCTCAAACAGGTGAAGAGCAGGGGAGGTGTTAGAGGTATAGAGTAATTTGTGAGATTTGGGTTGTTAGTGGCTGCGATAGCCTGAAGTCTGAACTCAAGTCCAGTGCAAAATTGCTGGGCTGTTTACCAGGATGGTGGTAGGAAAACGAAGCGTGAGGAGGATCTGGTAGAAGGATTCACCACCTGATCAAGGGGAGGCTGTTGACGAGGCTTTCTTGCTCCAGATGCATGAGATGTCTGGCTCACGGGCTCTTGTCCTGGTGGGGGACTTCAACCATCCGGACATCTGCTGGGAAAACCACACGGCGAGCTGCAAGAGCTCCAGAAGGCTCTTGGAATCCATTGATGATAGCTTTCTGGTTCAGGTATTGGACAGACCAACCAGAGGTGAAGCGTTGCTGGACCTGCTGCTCACCAACGCCGAGGAGATCATCAAAGGCGTCAAGGTTGGAGGCTGCCTGGGCTCCAGCGACCACGCCCTGGTTGAGTTTGTGATCTCAAGCGATGTGGGCCTGGCAAAGAGCAGGACCAGGACACTGAACTTCAGAAGAGCAGACTTCAAGCTACTCAATGGATTGCTGGCCAAGATCCCCTGGCGTGCTGCCCTCAAAGACAAGGATGTTGAGGAGAGCTGGCGGCTCTTCAAAGATGCCCTCCTGGAAGCACAAGAGGTCTCCATTCCTCTGAATAAGAAAGTGGGCAGGCGAGGTAGGAAACCGGCTTGGCTCAGCAGGGACCTGCTGAGAGAACTGAGGGCGAAGAAACGGGTGTACAAGCTCTGGAAACAAGGCTGTGTCACCTGGGAAGAGTACAGGAATGCCGTCCGGACTTGCAGACGTGGGATCAGGGAAGCCAAGGCGCAGGCAGAACTGAACTTGGCAAGGGACGTGAAAAACAATAAGAAAACCTTCTACAGGTACATTGCCCAGAAGAGACAGGCCAAAACGGGCGTACCTACTTTGGTAAATTTAAAAGGAGAACTGGCTTCAACAGATGAAGAGAAAGCTGAGGTGCTGAATGAGTTCTTCATCTCGGTCTTCACTGGTGGCCAGGATTCTAGTCTTTTTCACGTCCCTGAACCCTGCATCCCCAAACCTCTATGTGGGGACCAAGGAGGTAAATCCCTCCCCACTGTAAGGGCAGAGCAAGTCCGAGAGTGCCTCCTTAGACTGAATGAATACAAGTCTATGGGGCCGGATGGCGTGCATCCCAGGGTCCTGAAGGAGCTGGCTGAGGTGGTTGCCGAGCCGCTCTCCATCATATTTGAGAAGTTGTGGCTGTCAGGTGAGGTCCCGAACGACTGGAGGAAGGGTCATGTCACTCCCATATACAAGGGGAGCAGGGAGGACCCGGGGAACTACAGGCTGGTGAGTCTCACCTCCGTGCCTGGGAAGATCATGGAACAGATCCTCCTGGACAACATGCTCGATCACATACAGAATGAGCATGTGATCCGAGACAGCCAGCACGGCTTCATCAAAGGAAGGTCATGCCTAACTAATCTTGTGGCCTTCTATGATGGAGTGACGGCATTGGTGGACGAAGGGAAGGCGACCGATGTCATTTACCTGGACCTGAGCAAGGCCTTTGACATGGTCCCCCACCACATCCTCATCTCCAAATTGGAGGGAAGTGGATTTGATGGGTGGACGACCCGATGGATAAGCAATTGGTTGAAAGGCCGCAGACAGAGGGTGGTGGTCAATGGCTCTATGTCCAGGTGGAGGCCGGTAACAAGTGGTGTCCCCCAAGGGTCTGTCTTGGGACCGGTGCTCTTTAACATCTTTATTAATGACATCGATGAGGGAATTGAGTGCACCCTCAGCAAGTTTGCTGACGACACCAAGCTGAGTGGTGCGGTTGATACGGTGGAAGGAAGGGATGCCATTCAGAGGGACCTCGACAGGCTGGAGGGCTGAGCTCGGGTGAACCTGATGAGGTTCAACACGGCAAAGTGCAAGGTTTTGCATTTGGGCCGGAAGAACCCCAGGCACCTGTACAGGCTGGGAGGAGCGGTCCTTGAGAGCAGCTCGGCAGAGAAGGACCTGGGGGTCCTGATGGACGAGAGACTGAATATGAGCCAGCAGTGCACTCTGGCAGCTCGAAAGGCAAATGGGATCCTGGGCTCCATCAGGAGAGGGGTGGCCAGCAGGAACAGGGAGGTGATTGTCCCTCTCTACTCGGCTCTTGTGAGGCCCCATCTAGAGTACTGCATCCAGGTGTGGAGCCCTCAGTACAAGAAAGACATTGAGATTTTGGAAAGGGTCCAGAGGAGGGCGACTAAGATGATCAGGGGGCTGGAGCACCTCCCCTATGAGGACAGGCTGAGGGAGTTGGGCTTGTTCAGCCTGGAGAAGAGAAGGCTGCGGGGTGACCTCATTGCAGCCTATCAATACCTGAAGGGAACCTACACCCAGGAGGGGAGTAAACTCTTCAAAAGGGCTGATAACAGCAGGACTAGGGGAAATGGTTTTAAGTTGAAGGAGGGAAGATTTAGGTTGGATGTTAGGGGGAAGTTCTTTACTAGGAGAGTGGTTAGGCCCTGGAACGGGCTGCCCAGGGAGGTTGTGGATGCCCCGTCCTTGGACGTGTTTAAGGCCAGGTTGGACGGGGTCCTGGGCAACCTGATCTGAATGTGTATGTTTGGTGGCCCTGCTAGGCAGGGGGGTTGGAACTACATGATCCTTGGGGTCCCTTCCAACCCGGGTGATTCTGTGATTCTGTGATTTTGTGATTGATGTATGGGTGTTAGCCTTGTTTAGCTTCAGCCAACTGATAAGCCATCAGAGAAATCCTGTGAGAAAATATCTGATGTGAAATATATTTGTTATTAGGTACCTCAAGGAAAGTCACATCTATGTTGTCCTTGCATTTCCAGCTTTTTCTATTCCTTTAACTCAGATTTTGTTAGTATCCCCATTGTAGTTCACTGATAGGTGTGGTTCATGATGCTTATGTGAATTCTGTAGCCATTCAGAGCAGTGAACTAATATAGCATCCCATTAGGGAATGGCTGTTTACAAGGGTGGATAGTGACAGGACAAGGGAGAATGGTTTTAAACTGAAATGGGAGGTTTAGGTTAGATATTAGGTGGAATTTTTTCATGCAGAGGGTGACACACTGGAACAGGTTGCCCAAGGAGGTTGTGGATGCCCCATTCCTGGAGGCATTTAAGGCCAGGCTGGATGTGGCTCTGGACAGCCTGGTCTGATGGCTGGTGACCCTTCCCATGGCAGGGAGGGTTGAAACGAGGTGATCACTGTGGTCTTTTTCAATCCAAGCCATTCATTCTATGATTCATGATGAAATGGTTGTCCTTTTTATTAACGTTGTCTTCCACAAGAATAAGATGTTAACATAGTCTGAAGGTCTTTCAGAAGAGGATCCCTGTAGCTATTCCTAGCTATTCTGTTTGTTCCTCTTAAGACAGAAGAGTTCACTAGAAACAGCTGAAGGCTTAGTCATAAACAACTTTTGCCTCTATTTGACCTCCTGTACAATAGGAGCTTTTAATGGTTGCACAAGACAAACCAGTCTTGTTGTAAGATGACTAAGGTTTGTAAGTATATATGCGATGCATATAACTTGGAGTATGTTAAGCTCCATAATGGTTTTTTGTAAGTATAACCAACCTGCTAACTTTGCTGAATTAAAGCCTAATTTCTAAAATGCTCTAAAATTTACCTGCGTTTTTTCATATTGAGACAACAGTGCTAACAGAAAATAAGATGTTGCTGCAGAAAGTCATAAATCGGTGTTTATTAACTATTTAACACCATTGTGCATGCTGATGTATATTTAATTACACAGTGTATGAAAGCTTTCAAAAATAGGCACTTTGAACAGTTAATTAATTGGCAGTTAGTTGTAATGACTCAGGAAGGAGAAGTTTGATTTCCATCTAACCAAATTGTCATACTTTGAGGTTGTCAAATAAATACATGTTGCAAAGAATGTTGTATCTTTAACTCTTTAATCATCTTTATTATTACTTTTTTTTTTTCAAGTCTAGAGATTCTATCAAGTTGGATGACCTGAAGGCAGAGGTGTCACCAAGGATTTCAGCAGAAGATCTGATTGATCTTTGTGAACTGACAGGACCAAGTCATTCCAAAACACCTATAAAAAAAACAAAGTCTAGCAAGCCAAAGTTGCTGGTGGTGGACATCCGTAACAGTGAAGAGTATCCTTCAAATCCAAGTGCTAAGCTTGACAAATCGTGCTTGTATCAATTACCTTCTTTTTGTCTGCAGGAAAATGATAACAGAACAGTTTGGTTTTTTTTTTTTTTAAATGTGTCCATTACAGTGAAAGAACTAAAGGTGTTCTTTGTTTTTTTTTTTTATCATAGATAGTCATGGTTTGTAAAGGAAATCACAAATGTGTTCATTTGTTCTTGCTTTCACGCTTGAAGCTGTGATTGTAATGAAACCACATTGTAGTAACAGCACAAGTACTTTAATGCAGCTTGCTTTTTTATGATAGATATTGTTAGTACACCTTCCCCAATATTTTGGAATGTTTTAGCAGACCAGTATTTGAAAATGTGGGAGACTTCCCAGGTAAGTGGAAGGGAAATGGAGAACTGTCAACAGCTCGCATGCTTTGCCAGTCCCTCAGTGGAAAAATCAGTTCCTATGGAGTGCCTTCTCATATTGCAGGTAGTGCAGCCCAAATAATAAGGTATCTTGCTTATCTGCTTATAATCAGAAAAGACTTAAAGGTATCTAGAAGCTGTGTTTGTATCAGAGTTGCTACCCTGTCTACACCTTACTCTTTTTTTTTTTTTAATACATAGTCTTTGCATGTGGAGTGTCATTTACTTTTGCAGCCCAGCTTTCTATGTGACAGTTTGTAACGAGCAAGCAATATTCAATTTAAAAAAAAAAAAATCAGGAATTGAGTCCATCTTCTGCTTCCAAAAAAAAGCTGGACCATTCCTGTTATGTCTGGTTTGTTCTGAAAGATCTCCAGTTAGAGATTCAGCAGGCTCTCAGTAACACTGAAAAAAGTTTCTCTATCTGGTCTAATTCTAATTACCTCACATTTATGAGAAAAGAGTGAAATCTAATCAAGGTAATATATAACTAAGAGTTATTTGTTTCCACAGTTCTTAAGAAGCACAGTTAGTGTTAAGGCACTTCACTTGATCACTTTATTTCCCTTTAATGGTGGATTGATGCCAAACATTTGAGGTAAAATGGATAGTAAATATGTAAATAACTCCATTATACTTGATTTTTCAGCAATGAGTAGGTTGTTGAAGTACTATTTTATATCCAGAAATGTCATTTCTCAAATATTTTAGCAATATTTGTGACAAAGTATGTTGAAGTAGAGAAACAAATATTTTTAATATATAAATAGAAATAAATTCATTACATACATAGTACAGAGATAGTGTACATTAATTAAATAACTACCTGAAAATAAGTTTTTGTAATTTTGTTTGCCATACTAAAACTTGTTTTGTGTTCTTCTACACAAATTGGTCAAAGAAATACAAAACAATGTTTTTTTTTCTTTTCCTTGCATCCCTTTATTTCCTACCTCACTAAAGATTTCCAGTTAACTAGAGATTCATTTACCTGACTAGTTTGACTTTGTTCTCTAGAGTCCTATTTTACTTAACTCCTGGAATTAGACTGTTGAAAATGTGGTCTGCTTTTTTTGAGGCTGTGTTCTAAAAGATGATTTCTCCATCAAGAGATGATAATTATTAAATTCCAGTTAAAAGGAGAAGGTCCTGGAATTAAATGATCTACAAGTTCATTACTACTGTATGAAAAAGCTTTGATGCTATGGTTTAAATAATGTTTTTATTCCTGCATGCATCATTGTGTTTTTAAGTAATCCACTTACTAGAAATTATCAAAGACAAAGCAGGTAGGGAGCAAGTAACACAGAATGCCTAGACTATAATAATTGTACTATCATCTGTGTACAGAGATGGATTTATTTGTATTACAACCAAGATCAAAGGCAAGGCACTTGCTTAAGTGTTTCTGTAGCTTTCCTAATAGCTTGATAACAGTGGGACTGCAGTGGTCTTTGTTTGGGGATCTGAGTGCCTATTTATTAGAATTTCAGGGCCAGAACTGTAGGGGACTTGGGAGAAGTTGTCAGGAGATTTTAAGAAAATTTCCCAATAATCCCTATTTAGCTTTGGTTTTCATTGTAAGTGCTATTGCATAAAATTCCTTAATAAGAGATGCCCCAGCTGCTCACTGGTATTTGATTCCTGTGGTCAGAATAGAACTGGTTTGAAGTAAAATTCCGTGAAACGTGCATATTCTGCATGTTAGGTCTGGAGCATGGTTTCATTCATAAGCTCTTTTTTTTGCAGTGCCTTTGAAACAAATTCTTAATTCTGTCCTTTTTTCTGTGTAGTTTCAGACATTGTTTTCTCTCCATGTATGTGGTAACTGAAGTTTATCAACATATGCTAACACAAAAAACCAGCATTGGTGTATCTCATCTGCTAGGATGAAGGGCATGTTCATTCTACAGCTGTGTGCATAGAACGATTTCTTTGCCTTGCACATGTCCTTAACTGTTTTTCCGAAGCTTTAACCGTGGCCACATCTCTGGCAGCATCAATGTCCCATTTGCATCAGCATTTACTGCAGAAGGAGATCTCATCCAGTGCCCAGCAACTGCCACGCTCCAGAGCTTTAAAGGAAGAGTTGTGGTGATTGTAGGAAATGCAGTGAAGAATACAGCAGCTGTAAGTCTGTAGATACAGTGGATATAATGTGTATGTTTATATGTAGAAAGGCATCGCAAAATGAATGCATACAGTGGTAGTACATACCACATTCTGAGTAATTTATATATTAATAACTTGGGGGTGGGTATCACTATGGGATCTGGGGGAATTTTTTGTTCGTTTCTGTTTCTAGGCAAAAACATTTGATTGCTTCCTCAGCATCAGAGGAAGCCAACATTTTGAAATGAATCACTTAACATTTTTTTCACCTTTAAAATCTTTCTGTTGATGGGTTATGAAAGCAACATCAGAACTCCTGAAGTTTGTCAGTAAGATTTTCAAAAATCATTTGAGTTTAACAGTTGTTTTTTGCCATCATGTTAAGGATATACAAGGTAAGTAGGGAACAACATGTGTGATATGAAGTCCAAGGGAAATAGGATATAGTTCATATTACTCAAAGTAAGAAAGAAACAATGTGTTGGTTATGTGTATTTTATTATAAAGTAAATCTGCTCAGTTAAGGGGAAGAGTGATTCGTACATGTAACTTCTATATGATAGTTTGGGTAGATGGGGAGAATAATCAGACGTGCCTACTCGTTTCTATAAATATTTAATGGTGTTGTGAACCAGCAGAATAGTTAGTAGAATTACTACTTCTGCTAATCTTAGGAAAAGAATATATTTTTTTAATTCAAAGGTGTGCTTTAGGTATGGTATACATTTAGTTCAACTGAGTCTCTTTTCATTAACCTATGTTTCATGAGTTAAAAAATTGACTGGTGTTTGTCATATTTTACGCTGTAGCAGAGGTAGTGGAAAACAGACCATAAAGCACATTGAATTGTTTCAGCCAGTGAGTCTAGGTTTGTTCACTGGATCTGGATGAATCCATGATACATATTTCACATGCAATCAATCAATTTGAATAATTACTATTGCTCTACAAAATGTTGAATGCATATATTCCCCCTTAGAGGAATAAATACAAAATGCATAAAATGCCGTGTGCCAAATGGAGATGATTTAATGGATGCTTGACGCATTTGATGGTGGGTTATGCAGTAGCTTTCAGTAATTACATTTTAAGTTACTGAACATATTAATTTATCTCAGTAACAGTCTTAGCATTCTCTAACCTCCTGAGGAGTAGGGACAGGAAAGACAAACTGCTTTGGTATTCAGTAATGAGTGTCTTTATGGAAGATAGCCCATTTACTAGCAAGTCATTTTCACAGAGTTGCTTTCCAGGACTGACCTGTCTAAAACAGAAGGAAGAAATAACCTGAAATGAGTAGCTGTAGGAAAGGAAAGACAGAGGCCTTACTGTATGGTTGTGGGTTGCACCATGCCTAAGAAGAGCTAAATTTCTCTTATAATGTACAAACACTTTTCATGCCAACTTGTATTTTTTGCAGCTTTTAAATGTTTCAGTAGATGGAAAGTTAGACGTTTCCTTTGCTTATGCTGCTGTAGAAAACCTAGTGTGCTTTAGTGAGTCCAAGCACTTCAGCCATGTAAAAGGATGTTGCATTATCCTTAAACCCATCTTGCTAGTCTTAGGACAGTAGAAGTATGTATGTTTACATGCAGCTATGAATATTACAGCTTTTTATAAGGAAAGTAATAAATTTTTTGAAATTGTGTTAAGTAATGTAACAGTATGAAAAATTGCAGAAGTGAATGTGTGGAAACAGAAGCAATGTTCCCAAAGAAATGTTGTGAGATGTTTGACCTCAAACATTTATTTTCTAAACAGTTATGTATCTCAAACTGGAATTTGCCACAGATCGTGCCCTTCACCATAAAGGAGTTTTGTTGTGTTTTGTTTTTTTTTCTGTAAGAAGTGTTGACTGATATTTAAACCATTGAAAATACAGAAACTGGCTCTGTTAGTTGTTACTCAGATTCATGCAGCACTAAGTTCTGTAGGGGTGAATGTAGGAAATGTTGATAATTTATGAGGCTATTTGTAATTAGGAGATAAAATCTTTCAATAGCATTTGCATTGGTAACCTGGCATCATTTCAGTAATCAAATAAAAATTGACTGTCTTGAATGGGCATACAGGAAATTCATTTTTGCCCTTTTTACACCTTTTTTTTTTTTTTTATTTCTGCCTTGTGTGTTTGATTTGGTGCCAGATGATAAAACACTTAAATTTGAAAGAAAAGGCTTTCTAGAACTCAATGGGCAATAGGGGAAAAACAAAAACTCCATAGTGGCTCAGTTCCAGGAGGAGACACTGAAGCTAGCAGCACTACAGACATCATCTAGCTCTGGCTTTAGTTGAACACTTCCTTGAAAAATCAAAAACAGAGTAAATCCTTCTTGTTCAGCCATTCAAAGGTCTAAAAGCTAAGTTAATGGATTGGTTGATGTACCGGAGCCTTACTGAGCCGTACAGGTGTTATGCTGGAATTAACCAGCCTGATTCTGTTTTGATTTTTAACTTACATATATGAAGTGGCAGCATCTCTAAAGTGCATTAAATTCTCCATTCACACATCCACAGAAATATAATTACCTTGAAATT